GTAGATACGCTAAGAAGGAGCTGATTTAAAGGATGAAGACCATTGGTCAAGTGTTGGATGGGGCCTACTTGGTCGAGAGGCTTCTTGAGGGCGTTTGGTAACAAACGCTAAGGTTTTATGCAAATTGTGTCAGTAGCGAATGGTACCCACAGAGCAGGTCATGCTTACCCTTTTCGCGAACACCTGGTGTCTTCGCTGATTTTCAGTGAAACATTCATGTAATTTTCATTTGCCATTTCTTGCCGAGTGGAATCTATTTCGGCGGATAATCTAGATTGGTTGTTCTCTGATATTTACGGGGTTTTTTTAGCTATAATGAACGTACTGCCTATATCAAGGAGGCATGCCCTGTGGTATTATTTCATTAAGTAATCAAGTTTGGCTGTCTAAAGATCGCATAGTTACCACAGTTCGGAACTGAAATATTTCCCATACTATTCAGTGAGTGGGTCGGTAGGGTTAGCCAAGAGTATTTCAGTCTTAACGGCGTGTCAATTTGATGTGGGAGGAAATTCCAGAGTGATTCAGGTCTTAGTGTTTTACCACTTTGGTGAAGTGTGAGCACCGGTATGGTGCTGACAAGCCGAGAATCATTATCAGGGCCAATATGGGAATCGAACCCAATAATTGCTATAGGTTTGCCGTCTGGGTCACCCGTGTCACAATTTACAAGGGGAAAGGTCTTCGTACGAAAACTCGTATTCTTATCCTGTACAATATGCAGTTGATAAACGTTTCGAGTTATCCGGAATTGGAGACAAAAGGAGTGCCAACAGACACTGTCCCAATAAGTATTCTGCCCGTATCACAATATTTCACCGTCTTTAACCATATATCGAATTAATGATGTTCGCGTTACCATGATTCCACAATGTTTACTATAAAGAGAGACGATAGTGTTACAGCTTTAACATATACTACTCAAAAGGAGTTAAATAAAAGCGACAGAACTCTTTCCATATTCATGAGAAGTCTTGGCTAAATAGTAGAGTCGATTGTACCATGCTGACTATATCATGAACACGTATTTATTAATCACTATCAAATAGTGATGATACCATATGTCCGCGAACAGAACACGCGATATTTTCATATGACTATGATTAATATGTCATGCCATGAAAGATTAACTATAGTCATGTGGAAAAAATCGGGTGTTCTTTGACTGAGTGTGTATATAATGAGTAGTGTATAATTGTTTTATTTCGTGTGTGTTATAAATAACCTGTAATGTCTCAATAATGACAGAGTCTAGTGAATCAGGAGTGTATATATTCCGATTGCTTGTAATTAACTACAGCTAAACGCCTGTCAAAGGGATGCCAGATCTTTATTTACAGCGAAGCTGATACTGACGACTATGAACGTCACCCATTTCTCAACCTAATCTGATGGCCTGGTGAGATACGTGTCAGTGGAGCAAAGACCCCAATGTTAACGTGGAAGCAAGTGTGATGTATTTAGTGCCTCTGCCAGGTGCTGACGGCTGCTCACATACATCTTCTGTAATAGTCGAAATCATTTCTTCGCTGAAACTGTCCGATTCCACTGCCGCTTCCAAGTACTGACATGCGGACCGCTGGGCATAGACTTACACAAATCTCTAAGGCAATAATTGTTAAGTAAACTACGTTTATAACGAACACGCTTATAACGAACTGACGGATAGAGCGAACTTACTTTTTTGTCCATACTATTTACTGTATGCTGTATATATGCTTCTAACGAACTACGGTTATAACGAACTAAAATTAGTGGTCTCTTTGAGTTCGTTATATCCGTAGTTTACTGTAGTTTAAATCATAATTTCTAGATTATATAAATAATAAGATCAATATGTCCCTGTAAGAGACTGGAGTCCTGTCCACAAATCTAGACTTGCCTATTAGGAGGACAGCATTACTACACATTCATGGACTTTTCTTTCAGTACAGTTTTGGAGCAAGGCTACGCTTGGTACAGGATGGTGGACTCCTGTGTAATGGTGGTGTTTAAGAGATTATGTCTAATTTGGTTTTAATTTGATTATAATTCGATTTTAATTACAATAAAATGATCTCTGCATCATAGTAAATTTATGTTCCGATTATGCTGGAGGTTTAAGTTCTGGGGTTTGGGGAAAATGTATTACCGCTTACCTCTATTAGGTGTGACGTACAGTAAAACATTGTTAAGACGAAACGTTGATCTTAGACCATAGTTCTAATATTAGAACCACTGTGCTGATATTAGACCATTAGGGCTGATACTAGATCATACAGCATATATTAGACCATAGTGCTGATAATAGACCACAGTTCTAATATTAGAACCACCGTGCTGATATTAGACCATTTGGTCTGATACTAGATCACATAACATATATTAGACCATAGTGCTGATATAAGACCATAGTGCGAATCTAAGTACATACTGTGCTCATCTAAGTGCTGATCTTGGACCATAATGCTAATATAGTGATGATATTAGACCACAGTGTTGACATTAGAACATAGTGCTGATATGGGACCATCTAGGGCTGATATTAGACCTCAGTGCGGATATTAGACCATAGAACTGACATTAGACTGATGCTCATATTAGATCATACATCAAATATTAGAACATAGTGCTGGTATTAGACCATAGTGTTGATATTAGACCATAGTGCTGATATTAGACCATAGTGATGATATTAGACAATAGTGATGATATTAGACCATAGTGCTGATATTAGACCATAGTGATGATATTAGACCATAGTGATGATATTAGACCATACTTGTTGATGGGACTAAAGTGAACTGACTTGGTGAAGAGCTGATTATAAGGGTTACATAATCAAAAATGTTTTTTCTCTAGCGAAGACGATCTATATCTTACAACAAAGGGTTGGACGATAGGTCAGAAAATTAAAGTGAGTGGGTATGGTTTTACGCCGCAATATTCCAGCAATATCACGACGGGGAACACCAGAAATGGGTTCACGCATTGTACCCATGTCGGGAATCGAACCCGGGTCTTCGGGGTAACGAGCGCGCGCTTTAACCACTAGGCTACCTGACCGCCCCCTGAAACTTAAAGGAGAATTGCAAAGAAGTTACTGTACCTCATAGACAGTAAACGTCACATTGATGTAAATGGTGCAACCAAAAAATGAAATGATGTGTAGTTTGCTATAATAATTTATATTATCACAAATATGTAACTCTGTGGGTTTACACAAACTGTAACATAAAACGTTGACACCAGAGAATAATCCGCTTCGATTATCTGCCGAAAACAGGAAATCCATGGGGCGTTTAAGGCAACATGATGATGAAAATTGTATGAATGGATCACTAAAAATCAGTGATGACACCAGGTGTTCGCGATAAAGGTAAGCAGGTCCCGTCCCACTGGTACTGTTTTTCCTTGTGTGTAGGCATTGATAACAATATTTTTTGAAAATTACAGAAAAAAGGATCCATTTTTAGAACACCTCTTTAACACCTGGTTAGCAGCAAAATTCCATCCAAGATAACACTTTTTACTGCAGTGTTCCAAAATCAACTTAATAATACATCTTTTCCGCTCTAGTGTTGATAGCCCTGCACATATATACGTACATGTGTATCGCATCTGTCTGATAAGGAAATATGCTTTACATATCTTTCCAGAATCATTTCCAAGAGTACTTTCAAACTCTGGCTTCTAACGCTACACTGATACCCAGTGCAACTCACGACTGTGGTGATAGAGATAAGGGACTCACTTCGGCACATCATCTCGCTAGTCATAAAGTTCATGGTCTATCTGCATACGTCTTATCATAATAGGGCTGTCTTATCATAAATTGGCCTTCTTCGACACAGTAGAAAAAAATCCATTTGATCCGAAGTTAGGTTTTAAAGGTTAAAGTTGATTCACGTGATCCTTAGAATGAAGCTTGTTAGAGGTACGATTTATCACACACCCAACAAGGCATAATGGCAGTTTATAACTTTATGAAAGGACATGACACGAAACACAGTGGTCACGTACAGATTATTATATCATAACTGACTGAATTAGAGCATACTAAATTATAATCTTGTCAATAAGAACACGTAATCGAGGTGAATCTATTTTTAAAATGGAATGATGGAACAAACAATGCTGATCTATTGACAAAATAATAAACATCATTGATATGGATTACAGTTTATAACCTTTAACTTAGGATAAATCCTCTTCTTTTAATGCTGATATATCATTTCCTCAATAAGGGAAACATGTTTTCTGAGTGATAAAAATTATATAGCGTAACGCTAACGTCATAAGCTGTGAAGCAATGCAACGGACGTAACATCGGAATGCGGAGGAGAAAACATTGAGATCAACCACGTGCCAGTTACAGAATGATAATTCAATTCCTCCTGACTTTTTATATACCGAATCTCTTGGAAATGCCATAATATATCAGTGAGAGCGAACGGCGCCTTAAGACCAGGGCATGCATACCAACACAACAAGCCAATATAGCAAAAGGAAAAGATGGCAGAGTGCCTTTGATGATATATTTCTTGATTTAATACATATATCGTTATCTCGTTTGGAAACGATATCTTGCAGTTATGCATAAAAAATATATCTTTATGGCTTCGTGCTATCGGTGATTGAGCTGTAGAATTTACGTGGTCAAAGGATCGTGTTGGGTGTTATGCAACACATCCGTGCTATAATCCTCTGGGATATTATGTCAGTCTTTCATCACGGCAAAGTGAAGCACGACGCTTATTTGCTCGCAACAATTACTCAAATTACTGGCTCAGTTTCAACGAAGTACAATTTTCAGTTGCGAAGGTAATTTGTTCAAAAGGAACATCACCTAGCCTGCTGGAGTGAGAAAATTGTGGGCAATATTATCGATTGGCGGCCATGAGTTTGTATTGTTCATATAATCTAATAATAAATACGCTTCTGTCGCGCGGAAGGTCAAAACAGGAGATATGGTTTATTCATGATTTCAGACACGTGCTTAAATATTAGAATATACTCACCTAAGTCGTCGATATTTTTCGACATGTTGAGAGATACTCCTATCAAAACGACGCTGAACAGAAGCAGGACAAAGGAGACTATGGCCACGGCACGTGCGACACGCTTCCTCTGAATCGTAGCCGGATCATCTTCCAGCTTAGCGTTCGTGACTGACACATTGACAGTTGTCGTCTGCTCGATGACGTCATCCTCGTTTTCGATATGACATGACAAAATCTCAATTCCGTCATCTTCGGTTGTTGTCATAGCGTCACGAGCGCCCCGAGGTGTGAGCTGGAGCCGCTCGCGATGCTCCTCGGACGAGTGGGCCAGAGGGATGGCGATGTCACTGGGTACACAAATTTTGGAACGCTAAGAGCCACCCATTATTAATGCCAACACAAAACAGTATCCACGCTAAGCATCCACTGACTGTAATCGTTGATAGCACCACATACTCTTAACACATACCAGCAGTTTCAATTCGATCACGGAACTCTATACACGTCCTTCCCAGGACTATCACACCTGTAAAAAACTCTGGTCAATGAACCACACCACTCCCAGAACCGTTCCTCTCTAAGCCAATCTAGCCCCACGTGGCCACGTTTACCAGGTGTTCTCTATTGACGCCCCCTGCTACAGATTCCCAAATACTCGATCTCAAATCTTTTTATCCTCAAGCAATGCAAACTCTGTATGGAGCTAAAGGTGAAGGTTCCGATTTGTAAGTACTTTACACACTTGAATCAAACACGTATATCCCAATGCGTTTTACAACCAATGGGAGTTTTTACATTAAAAAAACCCGTTAGCTGGTGTTTCTCTTCCTTGAGTCTATCGCTTCCGCCACGGAACGGTATTATTCAGTTATAGGCAAGAAGAGGAAACAACAGAAAGCACAGCTCTAAACACTTGAAGTGCATGCGTATATCGTACGTCGTTTTGAAGAGACTCTGCCGCAAGGCGCGAAACAAACCAGTGCAAGTCTTCACGTCATTAAGATGTTTGCACTATGTACAGATCGAAATTCCAAACACACTTAAGCCAGACGGTAAGGTTACTTCTACCGCTACAGCCCTTGATAAATTCTTCCCAATGGAAAGTCCCAGACGTTCAGTCCATGCCAACTGCTTTCTCTTCGTCCAGTAATACGACCCTTCTTTGATAAAATTAACTTCTTTGACGGAGAGTGGTATTTTGGAAAGGGGAGACGCCCAGGGTTGCTTCTCTTCTAAGTTAGGATTTTAGAGTTCTTATCTTGGACCTCTGTGCCGAAGGAGAAGCTATCAGGCATTGCTTATACCACGAGGATACCTGACAGGTAGCAACTCGATCAGGGCCAATCGTACTATACGCTAGTCACCAACACAGTTCAGGGTAGAGCGGAGATGTGTGGAAACGGCGGAGTTATCCAAACACACAGGAACACAGCATTAATTGATTGGAAGATTCTATATTACATTATTCATAACATTCATTCACAGGAATATATAGAATCTATTAGTGTGAAGGAAAAGTTATATTTGTTTGAGAAGCCTTTTTTGGATCAGGAGCTACGTGGACGCGTACAGCGATGTCAAATATTTACCTTTTGGAATCGACGAAATGCTAGTGTCAATGTAAACAGTTTGCTAACGTCGGTGTTTTCCTGGACTGTTCAAGCAGAAAAAAAATATTATCTAGATTAACGGTTAAGTATCTCTAATTGAAAATTCAATAATTTCTTGTTTTCAGAAGCATCAGTAATTCTCGCGTAATGTACACATAGTAAAAGCTTTTTGATCTTGATAGTTATTGGAAATTGCGAATTTTTGTTTCAGTTACCTTAACTGTTTATTGACTGTTCATCATGAAATTAATGGCAAGTTTAACAATAGTTTGCCTTACATTTTCATCCAAAAACATAGAGTCATACATCATGCGTTATGAAGCAGTGTGGCATTCAAATATGGGAAATTGAAATTGATCTGGTGCATTTAAATACATGCAATATCATTTATCAGTTTAACAATTATAGACTTTTCATTGAAAGAACTCAAAGGTATGCTTTTATAGATATCTGACAAGAATCCCAGAATTGGTTATAAATGGAAACATAAAAAATGCGATATACCCCTCAACCATCCTATATTATCCGCATCAATACTTTCCTGTCGTTTGAAAACTAAGCACCGCCTATGTTAACGTTGGACCAATAGGAATCCCAGCTGACCGTGCTTCCGAACTCCAAATTATTACATCAAACTCTGAAGCTGTAATCCGGGACAGTACTTTCCACAAGTGTCTATCTAACCAGCGTTGTCAATGCAGTGGGTGTCTATTGTCAAGGAACCACATGCCTCACGGTACACAGAGAAAAGCATATCCAATTCAGGGTAATTTTTGTAGTCATCTCGGGGGACAGTTGATCTTCATCAATGGGTACAGGTGTGTCTCGGCCAGTAGAGGAGACGCTGGAGCACATGAAAGTCGGGAGACTAGCCCGTGGGGCCGTGCTTCATGTTTACTTGTGTTAACGTGGTACTCTTGCTATGCTTCCACTCATCAATCACAACTTAAACTGCCTCGCCGTGCATCCCACCGCAAGATGCTGCTCGGGGCATTCTAGCTGGCCGCCACGAGCGCACGCCGACAGATCGATCTTCCCCCGGATCGATTAAAATGACGTCTGCCGCAGTAGATGTAGATGTTCAGGCTGACGAGTTGGGCTGTTCCCTCTCATTTATGTCCATATATAGACCAACAGATTAGTGTCTGATCTGTAGAAATAGCTGAAAGGTGTGCTTGAGTGTACTGCTCTGAAATGAATGAAGAGCAGTCACTGTGTTTGAAAGAAATGAATATTCAGTGGTGTTAGGGGGTTATAGTTGTGTGATATACTGAGCCTTGAATTACTGTATGGAGCTTTGACGGTTTTCGGAATCCGTTTTTGCGAGGTAGGATAAGGAAGATGTCTATACAATATCATGTGAAGTTCAAATGGAATCACCCAACACGGGCCATAACCGCTATTGAGTATGTTAATAGTAAATTGCGTAAAACGGAACTCTTAAATGCCTCTTAGATTTGCGAGTTCCCGGTATTGGTGCCCGCTCGAAGTACCCCGTACCTCATGCCAAAGTGTTAATACCCGATAAATGTTTAGCATATTTATGAAATCCGAACACTTCAGTAAATCGCAATTTAGAAAGTTTCACAAACATACACCAGAAATACTCATAACAAACATGACTGGACATGTCGAGTATTGCCACTGAGGCATGAGGTTACCGGCAATACATGTATGCATATTCTGAATCCATCCACCTTTCCCTGTTTTGCAATTCTCAAGAAGTACTGAATGTGTCAGTGTCAATGGAGCTGCTAAATGAGTATGGTTTGACGCCGCTTTTAGCAATACTCCAGCAAGATCACGGTTGGTCTCCTGAAATGGACGTCACATGTTGTAAATAGAATCGACAAAAACCTTTTTCATATTCTAAAGAAATCTCCGCTGAAAGCAGAGTCGATTTTACGATTCCGATCACGAGCATGTGTTCATTAATCTCACATATAGTGATGATACCATAGCTTCACAACTGTATACAAAGCATCTGATGGAGCAGTGGTTCCCATTTGCACTAAATGTCAGTGAACATCGTGTTTAAAGTTGATGGGTGGAACTGCTAAATGTCAGTGAACATTCTGTATATAGTTGATGGGTGTAACTGCTAAATGTCAGTGAACATTCTGTATATAGTTGATGGGTGGAACTGCTAAATGTAATTGAACATTCTGTATATAGTTGATGGGTGGAACTGCTAAATGGCAGTGAACATTCTGTTTTAAATTTGATGGGTGGAACTGCTAAATGTCAGTGAACATCGTGTATATAGTTGATGGTGGAGCTGCAAAATGTCAGTGAACATTCTGTATAAAGTTGATAGGTGGAACTGCTAAATGGCAGTAAACATTCTGTATATAGTTGATGTGTGGAACTGCTAAATATCAGTGAACATTCTGTTTTAGATTTGAAGGGCGGAACTGCTAAATGTCAGTGAATATTTTGTTTTAAATTCGATGCGTGGAACTGCTAAATGGCAGTGAACATTCTGTTTTTAATTTGATGCGTGGAACTGCTAAATGGCAGTGAACATTCTGTTTTAAATTTGAAGGGCGGAACTGCTAAATGTCAGTGAACATTCTGTTTTAAATTTGAAGGGCGGAACTGCTAAATGGCAGTGAACATTCTGTTTTAAATTTGAAGGGCGGAACTGCTAAATGTCAGTGAACATTCTGTTTTAAATTTGATGGGTGGAACTGCTAAATGTCAGTGAACATTCTGTATATAGTTGATGGGTGAAACTGCTAAATGTCAGTGAACATTCTGTATATAGTTGATGGGTGGAACTGCTAAATGTCAATTGAACATTCTGTATATAGTTGATGGGTGGAACTGCTAAATGGCAGTGAACATTCTGTTTTAAATTTGATGGATGGAACTGCTAAATGGCAGTGAACATCGTGTATATAGTTGATGGTGGAGCTGCTAAATGTCAGTGAACATTCTGTTTTTAATTTGATGGGTGGAACTGCTAAATATCAGTGAACATTTTGTATATAGTTGAAGGGTGGAACTGCTAAATGTCAGTGAACATTCTGTATATAGTTGATTGGTGGAACTGCTAAATGTCAGTGATCATCGTGTATATAGTTGATGGGTGGAACTGCTAAATGTCAGTAAACATTTTGTATATAGTTGATGGGTGGAACTGCTAAATGTCAGTGATCATCGTGTATATAGTTGATGTGTGGAGCTGCTAAATATCAGTGAACATTCTGTATACAGTTGATGGGTGGAACTGCTAAATGTCAGTGATCATCGTGTATATAGTTGATGTGTGGAGCTGCTAAATGTTAGTGAACATTCTGTATATAGTTAATTGGTGGAACTGCTAAATGTCAGTGAACATTTTGTATATAGTTGATGCATGGAACTGCTAAATATCAGTTATCATCGTGCATATAAATGATGTGCTGAGCTTCTAAATGTCAGTGAACATTCTGTATATAGTTGATGGGTGGAACTGCTAAATGTCAGTAAACATTTTGTATATAGTTGAATGGTGGAACTGCTAAATGTCAGTGATAATCGTGTATATAGTTGATGGGTGGAACTGCTAAATGTCAGTAAACATTTTGTATATAGTTGAAGGGTGGAACTGCTAAATGTCAGTGATCATCGTGTATATAGTTGATGGGTGGAGCTGCTAAATGTCAGTGAACATTCTGTATATAGTTGATGGGTGGAACTGCTAAATGTCGGTGTACATTCTGTTGATGTGTGGAACTGCTAAATGTCAGTGAACCTCGTGTATATAGTTGTTGGGTGGAACTGCTAAATGTCAGTGAACATCGTGTATGAATTTGATGGGTGGAACTGCTAAATTTCAGTGGACATTCTGTTTTAAATTTGATGGGTGGAACTCCTAAATGTCAGTGAACATCGTGTATGAAATTGATGGGTGGAAGTGCTAAATGTCAGTGAACATCGTGTATGAAATTGATGGGTGGAACTGCTAAATGTCAGTGAAAAGTCTGTTTTTAATTTGATGCTTTGAAGTGCTAAATGTCAGTGAACATTCTGTATATATTTGATGGGTGGAACTGCTAAATGTCAGTGAACATTCTGTTTTTAATTTGATGGGTGGAGGTGCTTAATGTCAGTGAACATTCTGTATATAGGTGATAGATGGAACTGCTAAATGTCAGTGAACCTCGTGTATATAGTTGTTGGGTGGAACTGCTAAATGTCAGTGAACATCGTGTATGAATTTGATGGGTGGAACTGCTAAATTTCAGTGGACATTCTGTTTTAAATTTGATGGGTGGAACTCCTAAATGTCAGTGAACATCGTGTATGAAATTGATGGGTGGAAGTGCTAAATGTCAGTGAACATCGTGTATGAAATTGATGGGTAGAACTGCTAAATGTCAGTGAAAAGTCTGTTTTTAATTTGATGCTTTGAAGTGCTAAATGTCAGTGAACATTCTGTATATATTTGATGGGTGGAACTGCTAAATGTCAGTGAACATTCTGTTTTTAATTTGATGGGTGGAGGTGCTTAATGTCAGTGAACATTCTGTATATAGGTGATAGATGGAACTGCTAAATGTCAGTGAACATTCTGTTTTTAATTTGATGTGTGGAACTGCTAAATGTCAGTGAACATTCTGTATATAGTTAATTGGTGGAGCTGCTAAATGTCAGTGAACATTCTGTATATAGTTGATGGGTGGAACTGCTAAATGTCAGTGAACATTCTGTATATAGTTGATGGGTGGAACTGCTAAATGTCAGTAAACATTTTGTATATAGTTGAATGGTGGAACTGCTAAATATCAGTGATAATCGTGTATATAGTTGATGGGTGGAACTGCTAAATGTCAGTAAACATTTTGTATATAGTTGAAGGGTGGAACTGCTAAATGTCAGTGATCATCGTGTATATAGTTGATGTGTGGAGCTGCTAAATGTCAGTGAACATTCTGTATATAGTTGATGGGTGGAACTGCTAAATGTCAGTGAACATTTTGTATATAGTTGATGGGTGGAACTGCTAAATGTCAGTGATCATCGTGTATATAGATGATGGGTGTGAACTGCTGAAAGTCAGTGAACATTCTGTATATAGTTGATGGGTGGAACTGATAAATGTCAGTGAACATCGTGTATATAGTTGATGGGTGGAACTGCTAAATGTCAGTGAACATTCTGTATATAGTTGATGGGTGGAACTGCTAAATGTCGGTGTACATTCTGTTGATGTGTGGAACTGCTAAATGTCAGTGAACCTCGTGTATATAGTTGTTGGGTGGAACTGCTAAATGTCAGTGAACATCGTGTATGAATTTGATGGGTGGAACTGCTAAATTTCAGTGGACATTCTGTTTTAAATTTGATGGGTGGAACTCCTAAATGTCAGTGAACATCGTGTATGAAATTGATGGGTGGAAGTGCTAAATGTCAGTGGACATCGTGTATGAAATTGATGGGTGGAACTGCTAAATGTCAGTGAAAAGTCTGTTTTTAATTTGATGCTTTGAAGTGCTAAATGTCAGTGAACATTCTGTATATATTTGATGGGTGGAACTGCTAAATGTCAGTGAACATTCTGTTTTTAATTTGATGGGTGGAGGTGCTTAATGTCAGTGAACATTCTGTATATAGGTGATAGATGGAACTGCTAAATGTCAGTGAACATTCTGTTTTTAATTTGATGGGTGGAACTGCTAAATGTCAGTGAACATTCTGTATATAGTTAATTGGTGGAGCTGCTAAATGTCAGTGAACATTCTGTATATAGTTGATGGGTGGAACTGCTAAATGTCAGTGAACATTTTGTATATAGTTGATGGGTGGAACTGCTAAATGTCAGTGATCATCGTGTATATAGATGATGGGTGTGAACTGCTGAAAGTCAGTGAACATTCTGTATATAGTTGATGGGTGGAACTGATAAATGTCAGTGAACATTCTTTATATAGTTGATGGGTGGAACTGCTAAAAGTCAGTGAACATTCTGTATATAGTTGATGGGTGGAACTGCTAAATGTCAGTGAACATCGTGTATATAGTTGATGGGTGGAACTGCTAAATGTCAGTGAACATTCTGTATATAGTTGATGGGTGGAACTGCTAAATGTCGGTGTACATTCTGTTGATGTGTGGAACTGCTAAATGTCAGTGAACTTCGTGTATGAATTTGATGGGTGGAACTGCTAAA